TCCACAGAACTGACTGCTGAGACTGTGAGTTGAGAATAGCGGGAGGCATTACATTTGAGATCGTCACTGGCAAACACTCGGACGTCTATAAACCACTTACACCGTTCAGTTGGCCTAAACCAATCGACTGTGCGTCTTTTCATGGTATCGCACTTAATTTGAGGTCGTCCATAGACACAGGTAGTTATCCATGGGTTTGGTTCAAACACCTTCGTTCTCGTGTTTCTCCGTTGTCTGGATTGGACTAGACTAATGCAATCCAGTGGTGTGGGTGGCACTCCTCGGGCTCATTACTGCATTCAATGCTACCACAGCAACACGACGTTTCGTCGTAATTCCGTAAAACTAACAGTGCCGGTTTGGTCTGAATGCTCTCTCTATATTGCAAGTATGAAAAGTGGGTTTTTATTTTGACTATAGTGGAGAAGTTTATTGTTTTTCTAGTCAACTAGTCCTGCCTGATTGATTAAAATCTCTTACTCTCATTCTGCTATGGTAGATGCTATCAGCCAAGATTGTAACATCAGTAGCTCTTTGGTTTCGAAGCGATTCACCACGGAGCGCTTCGGCCTTTTATTGTTATAAGCCCTGTAAACTGCACCCATCCAGCATGCTTTGATGCGCTTCCTTAGTCGAGTGTATTTTGACATTGATGCGTTGGCGTGCGTTTTTGCCTCTCGTGTCGGCAGCGCACGTCCGTGAGTGTGTGGGTTCACCAGCCAAACTCATCTTTTGGGGTATAAAATTAGTTGTTTTGATGACAAATGATTAATGCCATTGTTATCCTAGTGCATTTACTTTATCGGTTGCTCTCAAACTGCAACTTCGCAAACTAGTCCTCTATTCATCCTAGGCATCATCAGGGTCACGTGGTTAATTGGATCACATGCATTTCCACTTTTAACATTTTCCTTCTAGGTCTCTCCTCCTCTTTGTGTTCGCCTCGAACCTGGCTGGCATCTTTGTGGCAGCCTCCTTTGACGCAATTCGTCTGCTCTCCTTCCACGAGAGTTGCAGACAGGTGACTGCGCCGGTCACTACCACTGCCAATGCGAACTCGGACTCCGACCAGCAGTCGTCTTCCCAGCTTTTCAGCCTCAACTTCAATCTTCCTGTCTTTGAGCATCAACATCAGCAGCAAGATCATCAGCAGCAGAATAACTCTTTATCACCCTGTCTTCGAGTGGTGGGGGCTACCACGTCTCAGCCCGCCTCCGACGACACCTACTGTCGACGTCGTTCGTGTCGAACTTTAGCGTCTGAGATGGCAGATCGACAGCAGGGCGACAAGTACTCCACCTTTGGTATAGCTCGCACTGTGGCAAAGTCATTGGTACGTGGTTTGCGAGCAGCTGCTACGGGCGCCGGAAGAGCAGTCTATTTGCCGTTGACGCGAGGCTTGGGAATGGTGGGGAAACGCTGGAGTAGTGCCCTCTCTCCCCTACGGAGTCAAACCGCCGAAGTGGAGCGATCGGGTCGAGCTGCGATGCGGAGGGTCATGAAATCCAGCATAGAGACGTCCTCTGCTGTCCGGAATCAGCAGCACCAAGGGCAGAATCGTAGGGGTGGAGCAGAAAATGCAGAGAGTGTTGGTACTCTTGCTAACCCGCGCAAGTCCTCCGATGAGGTCAAACGCGTAAGTGTTTTTTATCTTTCTGGTTGAGTATTGACGTGTCCATTAGTCATGATTGCATTTACCTAAAACGAACACCGGGAGTTAAGTTTTGTTTGGTCTTCCCTTTCCAGACTGCAAAGCAGTCCGCAGTCAGAACAAATGGGGAGATTTTATCTTCGTCATTGTCGAATAACACCCAAGTGTGTAGTGATGGTACTACGTAAGTGCAGTTTATTGTTTATCACCAGGGCTCTCTTAGCAGTAGTAGCGTGTATTCCACTTCATATGACAAGAAGGCTTTATTTTTTCATGCGTCACGACTTTTTACCCATTGATTGGAGTCCGCCTTTCTTCTTAACACGAGTGATTTGAATCAGCGTGTCATTTTCCACAAAGTAAAACGTCAAGAGGCCAATTCGTTAGCTTCGTTTGCGGTTAGTCATATTGTGTGCGGATATTTTTATAGCCTATGTACTTTCTCCTGCGTTAGGTCTTCACTTCATTAGAAAAATATGTGATGCTAACACCCAGCGAGTTCTCAATTAGCAATTTACGGATGTGGTGCTACCAATTATTGCATTTAAGCTCATTCAAATACCTTGCAGATTCTTTACAGGGCTATCGTGGAAGTAAAATGTGATTTTTCCCCAAGGTATTTGTATTGCTAAACCTTTAGCCGATTCAAGTGAATTGTTCGCCTCCATTCAAGGTAGACTTATTGCATTTTTAATCCGATACTGGTTTTTACCTCTACGGCAAACAGTGTTTGTGTGTTTTATCATTCCCGGGAATTGTTAAAGTTCCCGCTACTAAAAAAGTACTTCGGTGTTTCGCTCATTTGTATGGCCTAGCATCTTAAAAGCCTTATTAATGCTTTAAACGAGAAAATCGGGATGAAGACAGCGTGAATTTGTAGTGTTTTACCCTTTTTGCACTTTGCAGCACCGCGGTGTGGACAAACCAGTCGGCTATTGGGGGCTGCATTAAGAATCGTGGAGGCGGTGGAGCCAAGCACAACGCTTTGGGAACAGTTCCTGGAGAGCTGCAGGCTTCACTGAGGGCAGCAGCAACAGCAATGACGGGGGGAGGTGCCTTAAAGAAGAACTCCCTTTCCAACTCCACCAACACCTCTGTCTCCACTACGACACCCTCCAGTCCCAAAATGCGCACTGCTAAGTCAAGCGCATCATTGGGCACTCCACCTCCGCCCACTCCACCACCGCCTCCACCCTCACTCATCATGGAGAGCATCAAGGTGGAGTCTGCCTCTATGGGAGTGAAAAAGCCCAGACAGTTTGGCCATCAGCAGCAGCAACAGCAGTTGTCCAAAACAACAGCGGCTGTTGCAGCCTTAATACCTCAATCTCAGGGATCTTGCAGGCCATCAGGCCAACGGTATAACTCTTCCAAAGAGGCCAGTCTGTAAGGCGTTACGTAGATCAAGCTTTTGGCTTACAACTGAATTGACAAGTGTTGTACGTGTTTTGCTCATTGATAGCCCCAAGCAGAAGTCACCACTGGCAGGTGCAATTGACACGGTTGCCTCGGAAAGTCTGGGTATGCTCTTCTCTCCTGCATTTTGTAATCCACTCTGTCTAATGTGGGCTCTACATTTTTTAAACCGTTATCATGCATTATGGGGGTTGCTAAGTCAGGTCAGTTGCTAAGCTTATCGTGCGTTCTGTCTAGCATGTCTTAGATAAATAGAAACTGGTAAATTTATTAGTTATTGCAAGAGAGTGATGATAGGCGGACAGCTTCTACTAAGCGTTTGAGTTCTGCATATCACGCGCTTACCTAAGTGAGGTGGACGTTGTTGGGCGATGCCATTTGAGAAATGACAGTACACGTATTTTGAATGCTAGTCGTACTTCATGTAGCCTTTTTTAACATGAATTAATTAGTTAGTGAATTCTGCTTGCGTTACTTGTGTCTACCTCCCTTTTTTATATTCAAGTTACCTCCTCACCTTACTACAGCAGTGAGAGGCATTGGATCTTGGCATTTTTTTTGTTGTTTTCCATAGGATTATAATTAGTTGGAAAAACTTTTTTGTACTTTGGCAGATTGGTAACTGGGATCCGTTGTTAGTAGCCTCTCTTTTACGGCATTATTTGTGTAGATCTTTGAAAACCCTTGTGCCATGTTCTTTTATCTCTTTGTATAATTTAAAAATCTCACCATTCTGCTATCCAGATCCTTGTCTATGTTACTTTTTGCTGAGAAGATGCTTTGCTGTTGTGCAAGTGTGTGTAGGAAGTAAACTGTGTTCTTTAAGTTTCTTGTATTAGCACCTTCACTACTGCAACAGTTGTAGCCGACTGAATGCTCATTCTCCAATAACTGCAATGCCTGCACTACCCAACTGAACAATTCTAATGCCACTCCAAGGGAGGAAGTTGTCCTGTAATCTTTCCCAGACCAGGAAACCATCCCGCATGCATAGTTTTCATATATTGAAGAACACACACCTCATATTTGAGACACGTGGGTTTCTGACTCAAGTAGAAAATTGGATCGGCGATGCTGGGTAGAACGAGGCGGGAAGCTTTGACATGGTCTGACGTTATCAATAGCTCTCCACATGCACAAACACGTACATACGATGCGATCAAACAATTGGTGCGGTTTTCAGTATAACCCGCTACTGCTGCTTGTGGCGACTTGTAGGTTCTCGTGGAATGAGATTACGCATATACCAACACAAAGCATACCTATTCACCGGTCCACTAGTACTCTTTGTAGTGTACTTTCTACTAGTTGACTGTTCCTTTCAACCCTCAAATAACGTGGATGTGAGTTGGTTATGATTGTCTGCTTGGTTGCAAACTCACAGCAACTTGTAAAATTTGTTTCATCAGCATTTGGAGCGGAGTAGGATTGCGAAACGTTCCACACACAAAGGATTTAACTGATGTGATTCGAGTGATAGATCATTTGAAGGTGCATCACAGTCAGGAAAATCCCCCTATTCTTGACTATTGGCGCGTTAATTTAATACTAACGTGATGAAAGTCACTTTCAGTCCTGCTTAGCGTAGGCGATAGCGTGATTTGGTGACACTCACGTCAACTGGGAAATTTGGGATTGCCAAGTAAATGCTATGCCAACTGGATGCATCGACAGATGAAAGCCATCTTCTCAGGATGTCTATTTGTTGATCAATTAACTTGTGATGCGAGATGACTTTTGAAGTCTCTTATTCCGGTATTTGCCAACCAAACTAACGTAGGTGGTGATTGGTCTCAAACAATCCACTCACCACACACCTCACTCTTCTGAGGCACTGCCTCCTTTGTGTGTGTTTGTGTTGTAGACTCCAACCACAACCGGTCACTAGTAGCTAGATCGGTTTGCTCCATAAGCCGCAGCTAGAACGTGTGAGTGGAAAAGAACTTTCTTTCAAAACACCCATGTCTAGTGAATCAGTCAATGCACAATCGTCATTCTCCGATGTTACTCTCACGCTTACCCGCTTGATAATCATCACCTTCTCTTGACATTGGACAATCACGTGCGAAATAGAATAGGACATTTGAAGAAGGAAATTGAGATGGAAATGGAAATGGTTAAAGCTAAATTGTTCACTTCTGGGAACGACTTTTGTTTCAATGGTGAACGCGGAATCCTGTGCTGCCTTTAATTTGCATCGAAAACAACTGGAAAGTCGCTGTTATGAGTGACTAGTGCCGATACAACTGGAAAGGAAATGTTGTTATTTTATACAATCATGAGCCTGTGTGTGTGTGTGTTGTGAAATAATGAGCAGAATTTGTCTGTCCGGCTTTTGTGTTGATACTGCAGATTAACGCCCCCATGTGTGCGACATTAATGAAATTAGATGTGTAAACAAAGGTCGCAAAGTCGGATTTCTGGCTTAAATGAGTTTTTGTAAACGCAGAATATTGCGTACATTATCGGAATGCCGAATTGAGAGGTTTTCTTTTCGTGAGCACTGCATTCGTAACTCTCCAGCCCAACGAAAGAAATCGGCGAAACCCATGGCTCCAACGAAATTATCATCCATCAACACCACCGCTACAGGGACGGCGGCATCACTTCCACCTTGGCAAACGCGGAAAGCATCGGCGCCCATAGAGGTGCAGTGTTCAGATCAGTGGCGGCAACCATCGGCCTCTGAGCCCGTTGAGAATGAAGTGGGCAGCAGTGGGTTGGCTAGTCATGCTGGGCGCCCAACCACGGCGTGGGCTGGGGTGTCTAGATCAGAGGGTGCTGCCGCCGCTCCACGTCTGACAACTAACCATCTAGGCGACTTGGAGTTTCCGCCGTTAGGCTCGGCTGTTGCTCGACGCTCTGTCAAGACAGTGCCGGTGGCTGGTGGTGGTACGTTTACTCCTTCTCTCCCGAGTGAACCTTTCAAGCTGATGGCTTCTTACGGGTACCTTAAAGCCCCGAAAATGCGTTTATTAGAACTTCGCTTTCTCATCCCATTGTTATCCACCCCACAAAATGCCCATCAATACGGTTCGGTTGGAGTCTTCTTGCAGACTTGAAGTTCAAATAATTGATAGATGTTACCCAAGTGAAATCGGTTCTCTTGAAGCCCTCTGACCTCAGGGTGCACAAATGAATTTGTTTTATTTGTAACCAAGTACTTTCCCATCAAAAAAAGTACCTTAATTACGAAGAAGGCACCATTTTTTATGCATTTTGATTAAGCCCTTTTTTAATTAACTATATGGTGTGGATTGCACATGTTATCACCGTTTTCGTCTCTGAAATTCCCAAGCTCAGAATGGGAATCTTTCGTTTTTCTTGTTCATTGTTCTTTTTGTGCATGCACGTTCATTACACAGTGTCTGAATTGGTGCCTGGAGGAATACGCACCCATGGCAAAAACTTGGTTGCCGCTGCTGTTCCTGTTAGGTTAACCGTTCTGTTGTTGTGAAAGCTTTAATTGAATTGTGACACCTTCTCCCTAGACACTTCTTCATCCTCCACTCCGGTGACCTCGGGTAGGTTTTGTTGCTCTGCTCATTTGTTCTGTAGCAATTTCAGAGTGGTTTAGTTCTATGCCCATGTCGTTTGCTAGGCGCCTCTTCAACCACAAATCTGACCAGTCCAGTGACCTCTAGTATGTGTTGTCTGGTTTTGCTGTTTCGTTGGCTGAGGTGTAGTAACTCACACTCGTGTGTTCTCCCTTCCCTTATTTGCCTGTCGGAAGCAGACGCAACGACCACCGCTAGCAGCACTGCTGCAAGTCGCACAACAACTTATGGTGAGCCATCGCCTTGCGTGTGGGAAGTAATTGCGTTTGTGTCAATCACACTGTGAGGCGCGACTAGACCACTTTACTGGCACGATTATTATTGCTGTTAATTAGCCTCATCGAGGGTTGCCTCAGCTCCCAAGCCTCTGTTAATGCCGGGCTTCACTTCGTGTCGTACGTACTTACCTCGAGACGTGGGAATTCTCGTTTCCTCCCTTTTAATAGTCCCCCTCCCATTCATTGCTTCTTTTGTTTCTGTTAAATTAAAGGCATTGTGCTGTTGTAGTGTTTTGTTGAAAATACTTGAAGGCTCAAAAGCTAGTATTTCTAAATATCCTTTAGTTTGGCCATTTCCTTTACTTCTTTTTGGTTGAATGCAAAGAAGTGAATAGCTGACATTGGATTTAAAAGCCTGGATATGGAATAAAAAGTGGGAGGAACGTTGAAATCAACCTAGCATCAACTAACACCTGTAAATTGGTTTTGGTATGGAACCATGTGCTCGGGTTCCCTGTGTCACCTCCCCATCAGTCAAGAGTAGAATGGTGGCCTGGCATCCAACACATGTGCGCTGAATTTCTGGCACTGGCAGCCTTCGTGCTCGAATTC